CCGCGAGGGGCCGCACCGCGCGGTGGCTGCAGGCGGCGAGCCGGCGGGTGGAGGCCCCCCGTACTACTCCTTGCGGGATCCGCAGTCAGGGGACCGCCGCGCGCCGGCTGCCGCGTTGAGGCGGGCGCCGGGATGGCGCTGCCTGGGCAGCGCCAGACGCTCGCGCCGCTCGCGCCGCCGCGGCCCGCCGCCGCGGCCGCCGCGGCTTCGGCTGGCGGCGGCGCTCGGGCCAGAGGGGCACCTCCTCCTCCTCCTCCTCGTCCTCCTCCTCCTCCTCCTCCTCCTCCTCCTCCTCCTCCTCCTCGGCCAGCTGGTTGTGCGATGGATGCCGGGCTGGGCGGGTGCACGAAGTCACGCGGGCCGCTCGCCTCGCAACGTTGTCTGTCCGTGTTTCCGTTGCCTGGGCGCGCTGGAAGGAAGCGGCCGCCGAGCCAGGTCTTGCGCATCGCCCGCAGGTTCTGGCAGGGGCGGCTGAGGGCGCCGCCGGATTGGCCGCCGCGGGGGCCAGGCAGCGCCAGCTGTCTGAATGCCGCCGTGGAAGTCGCCCAGGAGGGGCGACGTCCCCCCGAGCAGCTGGACCCAGACGAAGACAAGCTCAAGCTGGTTCCAGCCGTTGCGGGTTGTCCTTAGTTCGGTGGTACGGAGGCCAGTGAGAAGATGGCGGCGTGGTGGGCATAGCCATGGCAACGGGCTTGCAGGACGGAGTTTCGGTCAAGCCACTGGCGGCCAGGTGTGGCAACGCGAAGGTCAGGAGACGGAGAGTGGCATCGAAGGCGTTCGTCGCTGCTGGTGGCAGTCGCGGGCCGACCTGAGGGGGGAGGGGGGTCGCGCATCAGCCAGTCCTGCCTGAGTGGGCAGCGAGGTGGTGGTGGTGCCGTGGCCGGCTGTTCGGTTCGAGCCCGCAAGAGGGCGGGGTTTGCGGGGCGGTCGTTCAGGGCCTCGCGTGACCAAGATGTACGCATTGCTCATTTCTAATTATTCGAAGGTCCTTTGATTTCTTGGGGGGCCAAGATCCTTTCATTTCTAATTCTTCTACCCTGGGCCTCTTCCTGGTCACTAGGGGGCCAGGAGCAATTAGAAACGAGCACAGTTAGAAATGAGCACGGATGAGAAATGAACGACGCGTATTGTCCGAGTCCGCATTGCGCGCGGCCGAAAAGGGCGAGGTCGAGGTCGGGGGCGGCCAGAACAGCAGTCCAGTTTTCACCGCCCAGCAGCTGCCCTTCGCCGACGCAGCCGCCTCTGGCAGCGGCGGCGCGACTCTTGCGGTGCGCGAGTGGCTCGACGGGGGCGCGAAGGTCTCGAAGACAGGGCTGGACCTAAACGCTGTTTTGCTGGTCTTCGGCTGTGGTTTGCCTTTTGTTTCGGCAGGGAGGCCCACGACAGCAGGCAGAGCAACACGAGCAGCAAAACGACAAAACGAAAAACAGCGTTTAGGTCCAGCCCTGCTCGAAGAGCCCCGCGAAGCCGACGACTGCAGTTGGTGACGCACGCGCTGAGAGCTCACTGCCGTGGCCAGGAGGTCCTTCAGCAGACCGGTCTGAGTGTGAACCGCCCGGCCCAGCTCGGCGACCGCTGCGGATGTGGCGCGACGGATCGGGCGGGGCTCCTCGTTGACGGGCAAGTGGTCGAATGGTCGACGGAGGCTTGCGTTGACGGAGGGTGAAGGGCTGCTTGCGCGGAGCTATCAGATTTTGCCACGGCGGTTGCGCTGGTGCGGCGCCCGATGGAGCACATCGCGTGTGGGCGCGTGCATGGGAGGAGAGGCCAGTGATGCGGTGACGGGCGAGGCGTGCACCTGGGTTGGAGATCAGGCTCAAGGAGCGCATCAGTGTGAGGTATGTGCAGCTGCAGGTCTAGGCCTGGGGGCCAGCGCGGCATTGGATGACGATGCCCATGTCGAGGCTCGTGGTGATGCTCTTGGGGCACGTCGAGAAGACGTCGCGGAGCTGCAGGACTAGTGCGAGGGCAGGCACATGTTGGCCGGCTTGCGGCGGAGAACGCCCGTGCCGCAGTCAGAGACGAGACCCAGAGAGCAGGTGCTGACGAGGCACATGCAGGTGCAGGCGCGCGACAAAAGGAGCACCGATGCAGCGGATGGCGGAGCTGAGGGAGATGTCGAAGAGTATGCTTCCCGCCAGGTGCTGGCTCGCAGCGTTCGTGCGGCATGCGCGGAAGCTCCTGCCCGAGTCTCGGGCCGGGCGAAAGGGGGGGATTGGGAAAGGGGGGGTTACGAAATTTGCTGCATGCAGCTGGTTTCGGCCGCGCCGAGGGGCCCATTCTTCGATACATAGCCGCCTCCGGCGCCGGGAGGCGCCGGGAAAATCAGCTACGTGAGCTGGTTCTCAACCCCCCCCTTTGCTATCCCCCCCTTTTGCCCGACCCGACGTTCGTGCGGCATGCGCGGAAGCTCCTGCCCGAGTCGTTGGGACTGCGGGACTCGGTGTTGGAGGCGGCGCTCGCGGGCGCGGGGGAAGGCGCGCTCGGGAGCCCTCGGCGCCGCGAGGGCGCAGCGCGCCCTGGCGGTAGGCAGCGGCGCGCCGCGCGTGCGGGGGCGGGAGGGAGGGAGGGAGGGAGGGAGGGGAGGGGGGGGGAGGGGGGGAGGGAGGGAGGGAGGGGGGGAGGGGAGGGAGGGAGGGAGGGAGGGGGAGGGAGGGAGGGAGGGGGGGAGGGAGGGAGGGAGGGAGGGAGGGAGGAGGGAGGCGGGGTGGGGTGGGGCGAGGCGGGGCGTGGTGTGGGCGGGGGGTGGGCGGGGCAGGGCGCGGCCTGCTGGGGGGGGCCCACGGCTCTCCCTGGAGGGCGCGCTCGTCCCTTTTGTCGCCACGGCCTTCCTACCTCTCCCTCCGTATCTCTACACGCACTCTCTCTCTCTCACTCTCGCTCTCTCTCTCTCTCTCTCTTTCTCTCTCCCTTTCCTCTCGCTCTCTCTCTCTCTCTCTCGCTCTCTCTCTCTCTCTCTCTTTTTGTCCTATCTGATTCTTCCCATCTCCTCATCCTTGCCTGCGTGGGGGGAGAGGGAGGAGTGGGACGGGTGCGGTTGGGGAGGGCAGCTCTTACAGCGGGTGTTTCTTCTCACCCGTGAGACTCCAGGAAGGGAGGTGAGCCCGCCCCGTGGTTTCCAGACGGCAAGTCAGTGAAACATCACTTATACTTCAACATGCATAACTGGCAATTGAATGCGCCGACGGCAGCGGTAGCGGGTGCAACCCGGTCAGTGCATTGTGCCATATGGGAGTTTGTCAAAGTTCATTGCGTAAGGGATCAAATGAAGGTATGAATTTCACCCGAGGGCAATCTACACATATGCAAGGTGTGGCGTTCACCCCAGCCAGGGAGGCTGTACCCCAGCAGCGTTGCCCGGGTACGGCTTTCCTGGCTGCAGGCTGGGATGAGTGCCGTACCCCGCCAGCAACGTTGCTCAGGTGCAGTTTTTTGTTGGTTGCAGAAGGAGGAGGCGGAGAAGAAGAAAGAGGGGGATGATGATGATGATGATGATGATGATGATGATGATGATGATGATGATGATGATGATGATGATGATGATGATGATGATGATGATGATGATGATGATGATGAGGAGGAGGAGGAGGAGGAGGAGGAGGAGGAGGAGGAGGATGAGGATGATGATGATGATGATGATGATGATGGTGATGATGATGATGATGATGATGATGATGATGATGATGATGATGATGATGATGATAAGGAGGAGAGGAGGAGGAGGAGGAGGAGGAGGGAGGGGGGAGGAGGAGGAGGAGGAGGGAGGAGGAGGAGGAGGAGGAGGAGGAGGAGGAGGAGGAGGAGGAGGAGGAGGGAGGAGGAGGAGGAGGAGGAGGAGGAGGAGGAGGAGGAGGAGGAGGAGGAGGAGGAGGAGGAGGAGGAGGAGGCGGAGGAGGAGGAGGAGGAGGAGGAGGAGGAGGAGAAGGGGGGCACCAGGCCTTCAGGATGGGCAGACGTATTACCTCGTCAGCTCCGAGTGGATTTCCCAGTGGCGGCGCTGGGTCGACCTGGGCGCGCCGGCGGCGGCTTCCGAGGCTGGGTCGGTGTGAACTGGGGAGGGGGGGGGTCCAGGCTAGACCCCCTCCTTCTCGGGGGAGGAGGGGGGATGGGGGGAGGGAGGAGGGGGGAGGGAGGGGGGAGGGGGGAGGGGGGAGGGAGACAGAGGGAAGGGAGGGAGGGTGGTGCCCGAGTGAGTTGCGAGGCGGGGGGCCGTGTTGTGCTCCTTCGTAGTGTAGCTCATTCTTGGGTGTCCTCTCTTCTGCCGGAGGTGCTCAGGTCCCCCACGTATCTCGAGTGAGCAAAACTGCTGATGCGTATGCCCAGCTAGATGTCGACAAAGTCCGTGGCGACATCGGACCGCAATCCTCCGTCCTGTCAGCCCAGGAATTCACAGCGCGTCTTGGCCACAGGAGGCCAGCGGCTAGCAGCAGTGAGCGCGTCTCTTGCCCAGAAGGCCACGCACGCAACGTCTGCCCGTGGAAGCCTGGCCCGCGCACGGCTCGGCGTGAGCGTCGGCGATTAGGTCTCAGGGCATCAGATGCATCGTGTGGGGAGCTCCTGGGTGTGTAACTAGTGGCCGAGGGAGGTTTTCGGCAATGGAGCGGCTGCGTAGTGGCAGGGGCTTGGGGAGGATCTGTAGTCATTCGGGCGTCTTTTTATCGCTGTGCTCGCCCCTGTCCGCTGCTGTCTGTCGTGCGCGCGTCTTCCCTGCCCCAGGGGCCGCAGGGGGACCGTCGCACAGCGCCCCTGCCACTCTGCCTCCTCCTCCTTCCTGCCCGTCCCCTCCCTGTCCGCTCTCGGTGCTCGAGCTTCGGCCACGGTGTGCGGCCGGAGGCTTCCTCCTGGCGTCTGCCCCGTCCTCCTCCCGGAGAGCACCTTCGGGCAGAGAGGCCCTGGGGCGGACCTCGGCACCTGGGGATCTTGAAACCCAGGGTGAGTTTCGGCCCGAGGTGAGCGTACTTGCTGAGGCTTCCATCGGGCGCCTCGGGTTGGAAGGCCGCATGGCCCCCGTGAAACCGTCCGCAGGAAACGGCGGCGCAAAACGCGTCCCAAGGTTCAGTTCCTGCCAGTTGCGCTTCCTTACGGCCAGCGGTAAGTCAGGCCGGCTGGTTCACAGTCCCGCAAAGTGCCCCTCGCTCCCGCTTGCGTTCCTCTCAGCGAGCACGCTTTTCTCCACCTCAATATCCTCACTCCCTCTCCCCTCCACCCTTGCACTCCTGCCTTTCGACTTCTGTCTCCCAATCCGTCCTGTTTTTTTATTTTTTTTGTTCTCTCTCGCTCTCTCGCGCTCATACCGATTAATTCCACAGCTACTAGATTTTCCTGGATCCCCCCTTCCGTCCTCAACGCCTCCCTCCCTCCCTTTCCTTCCCGGCCTGATGCCCCTCCCGCTCTCAGAGCTCCGCCGCGGAGGCACCTCTCCCGAGCAGTGTGTGTGTGTGTGTGCAGTGAGTGAGTGTGTGTGTGTGTGTGTGTGTGTGCAGTGAGGGGCCTGGCTGCGCGCCCGTGGCAATCGGGTGGGTTCCCCGGGCCCCCGCCCCCCCCTCGTGGGGCCCCCTCGTGGGGGCCGGGCTTCCCCTCTGGGCCTCCCCCTCGGTGCTCGTCCGTGGCCGCCATCGTGCGCTCGAGCTCCCTGGGCGTCCCCCGCGGGCGCTGCCCGAGGGGGGCGCGCTGCCCGAGGGGGGCGCCTCGCGGGCGCCGCGTGCGCTGCGCGCGGGCCCCTCGTGGGCGCTGCGTGCGCGATCGCCGGCCTCCCGGCGGGCAGTGCCCGCCAGGGGGCGCCTCGTCGGCGCCTCGCCGGCGCCCCGAGCATCGGCTCGGCGGCAGCGCGCCGCGCAGTCCGTCCGCACGGCACGGCTGCGCCTGCGCCGCGCAGTCTGCACGTGCCTTGCGGCAGGAGCAGCGGGCGCTGCACGCGTTCTCCTTCCCGGGAGAGAGCAGGCTCGGCCGTTCTCCCCCCTCCTGGACTCACGGATCCTCCCTTTGGGGTCGTACAGTTTGCACGTGCTCCTGCCCCACAGTTCATTCTCCACTTGGAAACACCCCATTTCAGCAAGGTCTGTATCGACTCCTCACCCCTTAGCAGAAGTACTACAATGAGCGCGCATGCGTCTATCTCGAGCAATCATTTTACAAGAGCCCCTTGCACACAAAACACACCACACAGTCCACGTGTGCGCACACGTACAGCTCATATCATGCACAACTTGTTTTTGAATGCATTTCAGCATAGACACATCACAGCATCTAGCATACTTTTTAATGCCTCGCACGTGCTGAAGTTTTGGGAACGCATAAGATTATAGCCACCTCGTCCAGATCTCACATTCTCATTTCACTACGCGGTGCATCTATGTTGATCGAACATTTGCCCAGTGCACGAATCCGTATCAAATGGCACCATGCGGGCCAAACGCTCGCGCCGTCACGCGCGCGTGTCGAACTCTTTCCAACACAGATGCTTTCCAACGCATTTCAAGTTACAACTTTCCAGCCACAAGTGAAAACACACTAGCCTGGCATGTTCGTTGAAGTTCTACACGCGCACTTTCTCATCAGCACCCTCATCAGCGCCATCGCATCACCGTCATTATCGTCATCGCCTGTCGACGCCATTGCCGCCAGCATCAGTCAATTACCCTCATCACCGACACATGGACATCATCATTGCCATCGTCGTCGCCAACGTCGGCGCCATCATCGGCCTTGCCGTCGTCATCGTCATCATCGCCGCCACCATCGCTACTATCATCATCTCTACCGCCGTTGCCGACGTCATGATGGTAGCGCGCCCGCCCGAGCCACCGACCCGCACTGGAGTGCCCGCGCGCCTCGCGGCCCTTGAGACGAGCTGGGAAGTTCCCATTGGCAAGGGCTGTCGCGGCCGCGTCAGTTGTGACAAGCACGGTGGCCGTTCTGCGCGCGAGCTGGCGCGCCTCAGAGCGGCCGCGTAAATGCACCAGCCAGTGCTAAGCAGTCAGCGCGATCGCGGCCTCATGATTTTGATAGAGCAAGTTGCGGATGGGAGAGTGGGACGTTTGTGTGGGCAGTGAGTTGACAACTCATTCTTGCACCATCGCGATGGCATCTCAGGTGCGACTCGCGCAGGTTGCGCCAGATGCATTGCATCACATAGTTTGCGCCCCATGTTTTGTATCCTATGCATTGCACCGCGTACGTTGCACCACTTATGTTGAGTTCGTAATGTTGTGCTGCATACTGCGCGCATCGAGAGCACACACCACCATTGCTTGTGGTTCACACTGGCACGCAGTTGTATTTGAACCGCCTTCTGACTGCACGGAACTCAGCGTAACGTAAGCCAGCTTCGCTTCATGCAGCCTATATAGGGTCAGCGTGGCGTACCTCGGCTCATGCTATGAGGTGGCGTTCAGTGTGTAGTCTCGGTCCATGTCTGGGTTGTGTTGTTTGCCGACTTGTGCCGTAACCTCCTTCCTCGCACAGGCAGCGATGCAGGCAATCGTGCAAGGCAGGGCTCTTCTGCTGCCATTTGTTCTCTTCGTCCCCCCATTGGCCCGTCGCCCCCGTGCCCCCGCCCAGATTCCTCCTCCTCCTCCTCCTCCTCCTCCTCCTCTCAGGAGGGAAAGAAACACACAGACACAAGTAATCGTCGACTCTCCAGAAAATATAGGAAAATATGGGAAGTGGCGGGGAAGACAAAAACAGAGAAACTAGGGGAACACAGGGGGCATCTTTTTATTCGTGTGTATCTGTTTGTGTGTCCTGGGGCCCCTTCCTCCTCCTCCTCCTCCTCCTCCTCCTCCTCTTTCACCCGCCCCCCCTGCCCACACCCCGGGCTTCCGCCCGCCCCGAGAGGCCGCCGGAAGCCTCCGGGCCTCGTCGGTTGGCCGCGCCCCTCTGGGCAGGACGGCCTCGAGGCCCGGCCGGCGGAGCCCGCCGTCCGGGCAGCCCGCGGGCGCGGGCCGGGGCGCGGGCAGGCGCGCTGGGGCTGCGGAACCTCCTCCATCCCTAGCAGGAGGACCTGCAGGGGCCTATGGGGATGGGACTCTCGGGTCGGGCGAGAAAGGGGGGGATTGGGAAAGGGGGGGGTACGAAATTTGCTGCGTGCAGCTGGTTTCGGCCTCACCGAGGGGCCCATTCCTCGATTCATAGCCGCCTCCGGCGCGGGGAGGCGCCGGGAAAATCAGCTACGTGAGCTGATTCTCAAACCCCCCCTTTGCTATCCCCCCCTTTCGCCCGACCCGAGACTCGTGATGGGAGGTGCGGCAGCTTCTCTTCTGCGCCTGTGGTCTCTTCTGGTCCTCCCGGGGGGTTCGGTGGGCAGGTTGCACCACAGGGTCGGAGCGCCGCTGGCCTCTGGTTTCGGGCGTTGCATCGTCTGTTCAGTCTAGGCGTGCTCGCCTGGTGTCGGGCCCCATGGGCCATCACGGGTCGATCTCGTTCGGGAGGTGCCGCGCAGTGGTGAGAGTCTGGGGCTGCAGTCGTGGTTCTTCGCGACGGTGCAATTTTTCGTAGCGTCGGGTCTCAGGGCCCTCCTCCTCCTCCTCCTCCTCCTCCTCCTCCTCCTCCTCCTCCTCCTCCTCTTCCTCCTCCTCCTCCTCCTCCTCCTCCTCCTCCTCCTCCTCCTCCTCCTAGGGCGCACTCTTGGGCGCGTCCTTCTCATCCTCCATACCTTTTCCTTATACATCAGTTTCCCTGTCGCACCCCGAAGCGTGTCGGTAGGGCGGGCTGTGAAATATTATTGTTTCTTCCTCCATCACCCGTGGGCGTGCACGTCTGCTGCTCTGCTGCCGTGTGTGCTCAAGCTCTTCATGACAGGCTGGGCCGATTCCATCCCAACCTTGCTCGGGGCCGCCCGCGATCTCACCACCTCTCGGGCTGCATTGGAGCGCGGCCTCGCTTGCCGCTGCGTGTCCTCCGTGCCCGAGCCGCGCGCTGCGAGTGCACCTGCCCGTGGACGGAGGCAGGGAGCCCTGCTCTTCTCGGGCGCCGCGGTGGCGCTCCTCTCCGCGCTCTGCGGACTCGGCTGCGGTCTCGTCACCGGGTACGGCGTAGGCCACGCGGGCTGCCCGCGACGGCTGATTGCACTGCATTGAGCGGAGGAGGACGACAGGCTGCTGCGAATCCACAGGAGGTTGCCGCTCGGGGGCCCACTATCCCTGGGCTGCTGAAGGATGCCGTCGCTTGGTGTCAAGCTGCCGCAGGTGCTGGCTCACGATCCTGATGATGAGAACGGGCTGGTGTGGCATCATCGTATCCTCCTGTGCCGTGTTTCTGGTGGTCGCTGGGTGTGCCCCACTCCAGACTTCGGGAGGCAGATCCACGATCTCAGCGCCCACCGACAACGAGTGCTGAGACGGGGCAGTGCTTTCCCGGCGGACATCGCGGCTCGGTCCTCGCGCTGGGCGTTGGCGACCTGGACGGGGGGCACGTTCGCGAGGCGCGCGTGCAGGCCGCGATCCTTGGTGACGTTGAGTTCGAGGACGCCGAGGATGTCAAGTCATTGGTTGTGCTGTCGCCGACGATCTGCTCGGGCGGGAGGTCCCCAGCGAGATCCTTGATGACGGCGACCGCTTCAAGAATTTCGGCTCGTTCGGGATCGTGGGCTGGCTTGGTAAGGTCCGGTTCGTCGAGAAGGTTGCGACGCCCAGGTCGAGGAGTGGAAGAAAGGCCGTGAGGGTGCTGAGGGCGACTCTCGAGTTCTTGGGTTCCACTGCAAGCAGGGGAAGCGTAACCTACCGTTGCACGACGCTGTCCAGCTATATACGGAGGAAAAGTTCGATGACTGGCCTTTCCCGCCGCCCCGTGCGACGTGAGAGCACTTGGATTCGATCCTGGATGGTCCTTGCTCGATGCCTGCTTCGAACTGCTCGTGCGGTGCCAGATTCAGACCGAGATGGCTGCTGAAAGGAAGCCGAAACATCCAGATCACGGAGGGCTCAACTTGGTCATGGGTGGGCCCACGACTGGGAGTAACACAGCTGCCAGCAGGTGCTTCCGTGAGTACGGTGGGGGCGTTGGTTAAGGAATGCGCCCAGGATGCTGCTGACCCTGGAGGATTCCTTATCTGATAAGGGCGGTGGTGATATCCATGTCCAAGCCTCGATTGGAGTTCCACCGGCCCCGAGACCGTGGATTCCTTATCTCAGGGTTCCTTATCGAATGCTTCCGCCGTAGGTGCACAAGAGGCAGGTCGAGCGGGCGCAGACACTGAGGCAGGCCCGCTTGCTGCGCGAGGCGCGGCACCAGGAGGACAGACGCGCAAAGGGGGGTAAGGGCGCCGAGGACGGCGAGACTACCAGAAAGCCACCGAAAGCCTTGCAGGGGAGCGGACGGGGCGACAAGTCAGACGAGAAGAGCTGACCCCTGGGGTCGACTCGGTCTTGGCCGGGGTGACCGCGCAGCATGGCCGCCCCCGCCGCCAGTTTTGACCATGGCGGCGCAGCTGTCAGGCGTCGCCTTCGTGACCAGCGTCGGCGCGATGAGATTTTCCCGTTGACGGCTCCTTCTTTTCCAGTGGTTGCATCTCCTGGCGCTCCTCGAACTGTGCGACAGCGTCGTTTTGAGCAGTCTCTGCATCGACTAGTGCGTGACGCGGTTAGGTCTCTTAGCCAGCTCGCTGCCGCAACCGCCTCTTTCTCGAACGTCCCGAGTATGGGGAGATCTGGAAGCTTCCGGCCCACGCAACTGCAATGGGATGTGCTCGACCACGTTGCTCGGCGCGTCAGGGCGCGTGGGCGGTCGCCTGAAGACCTGGGTGAGGATCGAGTCCTCGCGGAGCTCGTGGCGCCCAGGGGCCTGTCGCAGGAGCCGAAGAACCTCGCCGAGTACAACGTCGAGAAGCTCAAGATCTGCCGCTCGGGCACCGTCGCGAAGGGCGCAAAGACGCTCACCCCGCCCGGGTCAGCGGGCCTCATCAAGCAGTACCAGCGCAGCGTCGAACGCGGTGCGGAGCAGAATTGCAGGCTGCTCGTGATTTTCCGAGGCCATATTGGGATCCGAAGCTTGCTCGCGATCAGAGTGTCCTGGTTTGGCTGGCCAGGCGACTGCGCAGCGCTAGCTTCATCGGATTCCGTCGGAAGATCAGGGCAAAGATCGGCATCTTCTTCGTTGAGAAGGAGGGCCTGCTTGGATTCGTCTCATCATCGACGTGGGGCAGGCCGACAGGTGCCACAGGTCCCCGCCGAAGATTCGGCTTGGGTCGGCCGCTTGGTCCTGTGAGCTCGACCTCTCGGATTCGGCGTTCCATGCATTGGCGGCAATGGGGCCGTAGCGGAGCTCTTGGGCGGGGCCGGCGGCGTCGACGATTGCGTCTACCAGATGTCGGTCGAGGAGCTCGGGCCCTGGTTCGGCATAGACTAGCCTCGCCCCTACTGGGCGACGGGCAGGGCAAGCGCGTGTCCGTCGGCGTGTCCGACGTCGCGTGCCCCGTCTTCCACGGCGTGGCCATGGGGTGGTCGTGGGCCCTCCACTTGGCCAACGAGGCTGTCGCACACCTGTCCCGGAGTGCTGGCCATTCTCAGTCCCTCGTCGGAGAGCGAACGCCCGCGCCGTGGATGCGGTTTGGGGGGGCCGTATCAGGCGTGCGCGTCGACAATTTCACGACGCGGGCCGGCGACCAGCAGACTGCCGTCGACTCCATCGAGCGTTTCCGCAGCGCGGCCGCCGAGCATGGGATCGGCACCCATGTCGACGGCGAGGTGGGCGCGGTCTTCGAGAGCTTCGGCGTGGAGTTTGCCGGGGCGCGCCGCTGTCTTCGACGCCTTCCCAGGCGAGTCTGGAGGGTGCATTTGGCCACTCTGTGGTTCAGGCGGCGGCGCTTGGTGCGTGGCGGCGCCCTTGAGATCTGGATGGGCCGCGTGGTCAACCGCCTGAGTCTGCTGCGGCGTGCGTTGTCGCGCCTGCAGGAGATCCACCCCTTTGTGGCTCGATCGCGTGGGCGTCGTGTTCGGCTCGCAGATTTGGTCGAGAACGAGATGCGACTCGCGCAGGTGCTGCTGATTCCCGGCGAGTGCGACCCGTTCGCGCTGCCGTCGACTTGGGCCACTCACCGGGAGCTACGTGACCTTGCCCGCTTCCGAGAGAGGTGGAGGTTCAAGCTGGTGGAGACCCTGTCAGACGTTGCTATGGCGCGGCACGGGTGGGTCGTCGAGTGCGTGGGAGGGGCGGCTTCATCCTGGTGGAGATTGCCGAGTTCCTGATGGTGCCGACGCTGCTGCTGCCGCGCGAGGCCCCAGACCTTGTGCCATCGGCCCGCAGACCCAGCGTGGGCAGCTGCTGGATTCGGAGATGCACCGCCGGGAGGCTGAGCCAGTCCAGCGCGCGGGGCGCAGGTCCCGCGCGCCTCGGCCACGGCCGCGGTAGAGCGAGGTCGAGGTGCCCAGCGCGGTCCTGCCTGTTGACCGACGGTCGGGCTGCCAGATCGCCGCGCGCATCCGCTGGCGCGGCCGCCGCGTTGAGAGCAAGCGCAACGTGGCCGACGCCGGCTCGCGTCTGCATCGGGCAGGAGGGTCAGCGGCGGCCGCCTCAGGAGGCCCCGGAGGACCTGCGCCCAGGATCGTTGTGCGCGCGGTGCTTTCGTGCTCCGCCGACCCTCCAGCATCGCGAGCTCTCCTGCCGCTCGAGAGGGGAGGTCCTCTCCGGGCGCTTTCCAGCCAGCGAAACTTTTGCCCTCGGGCCGTTCGCTGGCGAGGCGGGCCCCGCCTGGGCCCTTCGGTCTCGCGGGCGAGGCGGGCCACCAGTGGAACTGTGGAGTGGCGCAAGGTGCGACCTCTCCAGCAAAGAAGCGCAGAACCTCATCTTGTCGTGGATCTTTTCGGGGCTCGTCTGGTACATCCACTTGGGGGCCCCGTGTGCGGCCCAGTCTATTGCGAGAAGGGGGGTGCGGGACGTGTCTACGGCGCGCGATAAGGAGTCTATTCTGGTGGAACTGGCTCTACTTCCTGCCGAGGTCTGCGCGCCGGCGTCAAGGTGTGGG